TGCCCTAAACCCTAAACCCTAAACCCTAAACCCTAATTATTAAGATAGGGTATTAGCCACCAAAGAAGCCGGACTTCCGCCCAGCTCTGATGCAGGGCTTAGGGTTGAGGGTGGAAGTTCCTTGTGTTTGGGTTTAGGGGTTTGGGGTTTAGGGTTTAGGGTTTAGGGTTTAGGGTTTAGGGTTTAGGGTTTAGGGTTTAGGGGCTTAGGGTGTGGGGTTTAGGACTTATATCGGGGTTTAGGGTTTAGCTTTTAGGTTGGGAGTTTAGCCCTTAAGGCTTGCAGGGCTTCTACGAGTCTCCCCACCTAACCCTAAACCCTTAAGCCTAAACCCTAAACCCAAACTAACATGAGTGCAGACCGGCGACGTGCCGGCAGAGACGATGTGCTGCTTGTGCCGGCCAAGCATGTCCAACACTTGGCCTGACAAATAAGGGTTTAGGGTTTAGAGTTTGGGGTTTAGGGCCCTGAAAAGTATTCATTACCTGTATAGAAACCACAAAGGAAATGTTAAAGTTTCCCAATGCATGTGCTACACTTGATACTGTGCATTATATACTCGATGTTTTTATGCCATACTATGGGACATGATGAATGTTGGGTTACGTTCCGTTGCATTCTATGTTCGAGGTGTCCAACATTTGAAAACCGCTTGGCTCGGGCTCCCAGGTGACCAAACTGCACAAGAGACAACTGCATCAATCGAACCCTAAACCCTACACCCTGAACCCTAAACCCGACCTAAACCCTAAAAAGGGTCCAATCCACCTTACTAAAGCCAGAGGTCAGGGCTTAGGGTCTAAGGTCATTACTGACCCTTTAACCCTCATACTAATCTGAAGACAACTGTTTAGGATTTCGAGTTTTGGGTTTTGGGTTTAGGGAGGAGGTGGAAACACAACAAACAGCGGCTGCATTGGAGGGTGTAGGTATGGTTAGAACAGTTTTTTGTGGCCCAGCATACTATAAATATGATAAGGAACCTCCCAAAAAAACTATAGGTAATTATTTAGGCCCCTAAACCCTAAACCCTAAACCCTAAAACCTAAACCCTAAACCCTAAGTTTCGGACACTGGTTCGAACGTCTTTTCGGTCCAGGGCACTTTCGGGTCGCTTCGGCTGTGGGCGTTGCGGGTGTTTAGGGTTTAGGGTTTTAGGGGCTAGGGTTTTAGGGTTTTAGGGTTTAGGGTTTAGGGTTTAGGGTTTAGGGATTAGGGTTTAGGGTTTAGGGTGTAGGGTTTAGCTAGGGAACCTGCTCCCCCTTTCTTCGGGTGGCAGTATGACGAGTTTAGGGGTTTACGGTTTGGGGTTCAACACAGAGTTTAGGGTTGAGGGTTGAGGGTTTAGAGTCAACGAAAGCCCTCTCAAATCCCAGTGTAGGGTCAATGAAAGCCCTCGCAAATCCTAGTGCAGGATCCCTAGTTAGACTTGCGTCCAGTTTTGAACCCGAAATACCTACTGTAAGGTTTAGGGTTTAGGGTTTAGGCCTTACTGTTAGGAGCCCCTTTGTCCCTGCACCTATAGCCTAAACCCTGGAGCCTGCTGTTACCTCTACCCCTACACCCCAAACCCTAAGCCCTACTCTTAGGAGCCCCTATACCTGTATTTCGGCACCCTAAACCCATAAACCCAGAAGATCCTAAAGCCTAAAAGACTATTCCCTAAAACCCTAAAATCGACGGCTGCCGGGAAGTTCGTGTACTTCGGGCCCTGCCACCAGGGAAGGGTGTACTGTCACGATAGGGTACACCGCCATCCCCACTTCGACCGCCTCCTTGCTGATAGGGTTTAGGGTTTAGGGTTTAGGGTTCAGGGTTTAGGGGTTTAGAGTTTAGGGTTTCTAGGGTGTTGTCACCGATGAGGATGCTCAGCCCTTTCTCAAGGCATTTCCTACGATTTTCAAGACGGCGCACCAGCCCTGGAAGCAGGGGTAGGCTGCCCTCAGCGGCGAGAGGCATTGCTCCATCTTGCTCTCAGTCTTGTGACGGCGATCCTTGCCCGCTCGCCTAATAAGGGCTTAATGAGGGCTTTATTATAAGCCCAAATAACAGCTTTGGAGGGCTTTTTCGTTTACGAAAACAAGCCACCGAAACCCCTTCACCCTGAACCCTAAACCCTACTGTTAGGAGCCCCTATACCCGTATTTCGGAGCAAACCCATAAACCCACAAACCCTTCACCCCTATTCCCTAAAACCCTAAAACCCTGAACCCTAAACCCTAAACTTTAAACCCTAAACCTCTAAACTCTAAACCCCAAACCCCTAAACCCCAAACCCCTAAACCCTAAACCCTAGCTCGGACCCCGAAGAGATGGCCTGAGGAGCAGCCCGATGCAGCAGCATGGACCTGGATCTCCATCCCCTACAAAAGCTTAAGGTTTAGGGTTTAGGGTTTAGGGTTTAGGGGTTTAGGGTTTAGGGTTTAGGGTTTAGGGTTTAGGTTTTTTTTTTCAGTGCAACGGCCTTTCACACAGGTTTAGGGGTTTAGGGTTTAGGGTTTAGGGCTTAGGGCTCGACCCCTAGAGGGTTCCTTTAGAAGGGATTAATATAAGGGTTCCTTAAAGGGCTCTATTTGGGGACTGTAAGAGCTTTGAGGGTTGGGGTTTAGGGTCTGGGGCTCACGGTTTGTTTAGGGTTTGGGGCTGAGGGTTTGTGGCTTCGTGTTTATAAACCCTAAGCTCCTATAAACCTCTATCTCTAAACCCCAATGAACCCCTTATGAACCACTTAAAAATAAGACCCAAGACCCTAAACCCTAAACCCTAAACCCTAAACCCTAAACCTTAAACCCTAAACCCTAAACCCTAAACCCTAAACGCCTTGAAGCCCGCCAAACCCTGCGGTGCCGGGGCTCCGGAGTCGGGTATTACGTCTGCCTATCGTCGTTGAGGCTTAGGGTTTTAGGGTTTAGGGTTTAGGGTTTGGGGTTTAGGGTTTAGGGTTTAGGGTTTGGGGTTTAGGGTTTAGGGTTTAGGGTTTAGGGCTTAGGGTTTAGGGTTTAGAGAGACTCCTTCAATCCCATTAGGGTCCTTATTTAAGGTCCATTCCTAATTTAAAGCGATGATTGTGAACCTGGGTGCCGTGAAAGACGAGGAGTATGGATGCGAATCATCTGAATCCAGGGGCCTTAATAATTCGAATAGGGTTTGGGGTGTATTCTACTATAGTTATAAGAAGGAGCCCTCCAAAACCCCAGTCTCATTATGAAGGCCCCTACACAATTGGGGGGGGAGAGGAGGATCAAGAGCAGGAAATGGGTTCCTAAGGAGAGAAGGGGGACCCTTGGGGATATAGACCCTCTCAATAAGGTCCCTTTTAAGAGAGCCAAAAGTAGGGTTCAGAAGGGGTACCCCTAATAATACTACCTAGTTTCGCGGCTTTGTATAACCCTAAACCCTAAACCCTAAACCCCTAAACCCCTAAAGCCTAAACCCTAAGCCCGACCGCTGACCTTCATTTGTGGGACGCTCTCCCCGGTAAGCATGGCTTCATTCACGAGCACGTTTCCTCGGCTACTCCAAGGGCAGTTCGCTTGGGGTTTAAGGGCTTCTTTTTGGTGGTTTAGGGTTTAGGTGCTTTTTTGGGGGGAAAGGGTTTAGGGCTTAACGATTGGAGTTTATCCCTAAATCCTACACCCTAAGCCCCAAACCTAAAACCTAAGACCCTGAACAGTTTAGGGTTTTAGGGTTCAGGGCGCGGAGTTTAGGGGCATGGGTAAGGTCAAGCCGCTGGAATATGCGTACATAAAACAGTATGGCACCTGCATGTGTGTATGCAAACACATATTCTAGACTTGGCATTGGATAGAAGGGGCTTTTGAACGGACACTTCAATTTGGGATACAAAAAAGTCCTGCAAAAGGGTAATAGAACCTGGGATGAAAAGGATCTTTTGAAAGGGTAATAGACTTTTGGACGGAGTTCCTTCAACAACCTTAGTCTCTAAAACCCTAAACCCTAAACCCTAAATCCTAAAACCCTACAACCCTAAAGCCCCAAAGCCCTAAACCCTGAAACAACAGAAGCCGGTGAACAGGAAGAACTGGGGGTCTTGTAGCACAGCGTAAACAGGGAGCAGCAGGGTGTAGGGTGTAGGGTTTGGGGTTTTGGGTGTAGGGTTTAGGGTTTAGGGTTGAGGGCGTAGGGTTTGGGCTTTCGGGGTTTAGGGCTTCGGGTTTAGGTGTAAGGTTAGGGTGCTGGGTTTAGGGTTGAGGGTGTAGGGTTTGGGGTTTAGGGGTTTAGGGGTTTAGGGTTGAGGGTTCAGGGTTTAGGGGTTTTGGGGTTCAGGGGTTTAGGGGCCTTAATGTTTAGAACAAGGCTCCATCAAGATTCCTCTACGGTTTTCACATGGCTCTCACAGCAAGGGCTTTGGGGGATTAATGTAGCTGCCTGAAAAATTTTAAGAATAGAGTCTGAGGGTATATGAAAGCAAACCTGAGGAATCATGTTGGCAGGTAGAAAAGCAACAGCGGCAGCAGCCCTAAACCCTGAACCCTAAACCCTAAACCCTAAACCCTGGCGACTACTTACATGTGCACGAGAAGGAACGACAGGATGATAGGTGCAAGGGTGAGGACGGTAAGAGAGGCGACTTGAGACAGCCATGCATGCCACCCTGGACCCTAGACCCTAAACCCTAGACCCTAAGGCCGAATTCCGAAACCCTAAGAATGTGGAAAGACCTCAGATTAAAGGATCAATCTACGGTCTTGGATCCCCACATTGCAAAGTCAATGTGGTCCAATGTGAGTTTAGGGTTTAGGGTATAGGGATGAACTGCCACATGGAAATGTGCTGTGATAGAAGAAGCACACATGCAGACAGATATCGAGGGAGTAACATATCGAAATATACAGACTGATCGTTGACTGATGGTGGATTTTTACTGATTTAACCTGTTTCCTTGCTTGCTTACCCGTTTGAAATTATTTGTATAGGACATATATACCCAAAGTCAGTGTCACACCATACCCCGGCACGCCAGCATTCAGTCACGATTCCTTGCAGCAGAAGCACATCGCAAGGAAATGAAACCTGCGGCAGCCCGGCAAAAGAACATAGCGATGCTGCGACAGTGTACCGTCGTTTTGGGTTTCATGAGTGCTTCACCATCTAGGCGTAATAATTAGAATAGTGCATTTGACATATGCTATCGATAAGGGATACTATTGCTGATGCTTCCCATCTCTGTTAAACAAAGGGGCCTTGTGACAACCCTCAAAAACTTCACAAAACCCTTTGAACACCCTGGCCAAAACAAGCTTATAGCGAAAACTTTCAAAGTTCTGACTGCGACTTGTCGAGATCCCACACCAACGCCAAGCCTGGAGGCTTAGGGTTTAGGGTTTAGCGTTTAGGGTTTATAGCAAACCCCTGAAATTTGGAACATGGGTTTAGGATGATTGGTGCTCAGATCCCACATGCTTTACCTTAAGAGCATGAAGATACTGATGTTCCAACTTTATGGCTTCTCGTTTAAGGTTTAGGGGTTTAGGGTGAAAGGCTTTAGGGATTCTTGATTCGGGCTGAGGGCTCTACAAGGGTTGTGCTCGGGGATTTAGTGAGCAAGATTTAGGGTTTAGGGTTTGAGGGTTTAGGGTGATCAAGTATCTTAATCGCGGGGTACAAGTATAACTGTCAGAACCATGGATACGCTAGATATACCTACTTCTTTCTTTATATCCCCAGTTACTAAGTCCCATGATCCTGTAGGTATGACGGGTTTATACGGTATACCCTAAACCCTAAACCCTAGTTTTCAAAACTATACCCTAAACCCTAAACCCTAAACCCTAAACCCTAAAATAGGGGTCGATGATCTCATGTTCGACGCAGTCTGCGAACGTTCAACGAATGACACTTGTAAGCCCCCTTTAAACCCTATAGGGTTTAGGGTTTAGGGTTTAGGGTTTAGGGTTTAGGGTTTAGGCCCACAAAACCTACCTTTTTAAGGAACTATATATAGAAACCATAGTAAAGGAACGCTAAAGAGGGTAGGCTTTGTCGACTACAGGTAGTACCCAAGACCCTAAACCCTAAACCTGACCGGGGTTGAGACTTTTAACTTATTTAGGACATAGGATTTTATCTTTTCGGATTTTGAAGGCTTTGGGGTTTTGACTTTGTCGAGTTTAGGGTTTAGATTCCCGGGCTTAGGGTTCAAGGTTGCCTAGACAGGAAAAGCTCCAGCAAAGCGATCTCTAGGTAGGTAGAGTGGAGCTTCGAGCTAGGATAGTTTGGATTTGAGTCCTCGCAAAGCATTGTTATATGGCTGAAGAGAGGATACATAATTAAGTTTATGCTATGGCGATAGTGGGCGATCTCGCCCTGAACTTCGCAAAGCCAAGAGCTGCCTCAACCCTAAACCCTAAACCCTAAACCCTAGACCCTAAACCCTAAATCCCTAATTCCAAAATCCGAAACTGCCTCAGGATTGCGTTGGATGCCGATGATGTCTCCGGGCAGCAGTCGGTTGCTTTGGATCTCCTGCCATTGTCCATCCTCGGGTCAAGGGTTTAGGGTTTAGGGTTTTAGGGTTTTAGGGTTTAGGGTTTAGGGTTTAGGGTTTGGGTGTTTAGGGTTTAGGGTTTATATAACTAGGGTACAGGCTCTAAGGGCTTTGGATTGAAAGCCGACACGTGACCCTAAAACCCAAAACTCCTCAGACCCAGATGATTCCACACCGACCACCGAAGACAATGAAACTTCAAACCTCAGCGAGTCCTCCAGAGTACCCTTCATTTGGCTTCTCTTCAATACGACCAATGAGGAAGTTAGCAAGTGCCGGATCGCGAGGAGCCCACTTTGTGCTTGAAGGTTCTTATTCATATGATGATTCGTCGTATGAGTTGGTTCGTAAAAGCCTTCAACCCCCCTTAACCCTAAACCCTAAACCGTAAAGCCTCAACCCTTATGGATAGTAGTGTTAATGGCTTGTTAGCATTATACCCTAAACCCCAAACCGTCAGAAGCTCGGAGCTTTAGGGTGTTGGGTTTAGGATTTTGGGGTTTAGGGCTTAGGGGTTTAGCGGTTTGGGCTTTAGGGTTTTGGGGTTTAGGGTTTAGGCTTTAGGGTTTAGGGGTTTGGGGCTTAGAGGTTTTGGGGGTTTCGGGGTTTCGGGTTTAGGGGCTTAGGGGTTTAGCAGTTTAGGGGTTTAGGGGCTTTGAGGTTTAGGGGTTTGGGGGTTTAGGGGTTTAGGGGCTTAGGGTTTAGGGGTTTAGGGGTTTAAGGTTTAGGGTTTAGGGGTTTAGGGGTTTAGGGTTTAGGCTTTAGGGTATCCCGGAAGCCCGAAGCCCAAAGCAGTGTAAGACGCTGAAGTCCTTTGCAGCGCGACCAACCATATGAAATTTAAACCCTAAACCCTAAACCCTAAGACAAAGTTGGCTGTGCTGTTTCGGAACTTTTGTTATCGTACTTGCACTGATGAGTGCGAATAAGAGTATTTCAAAATAACGACAGCACCAGTAACACCAATAATAATAATAATAATAATGACAGTATTAACAACCGTAAACGACAACTAGGTATCTGTTTCAGACTTCCCGAACACATGAAATACTGGACTGGGAGGTAACCAGGGGAAACGCAGTATACACTTTTATAGCAAAATGGCTCCGTTTATGCAGTGGGTCCATCTTGTGGCCTTAGCGCAAAAATCTTGTGCTGCTGGTTCAGGGTTTTTAGGGCCCCTCCCCTAAACTTAGAGCCCTAAATCGCTGTGAGAGGCCGGCTACAGGAACTCCGAACACAAAAACCTTAAACCCTAAACCCTAGACCCTAAACCCTAAACCCCTAAACACTAAACCCCTAAACCCTAAAGCCTAAACCCTAGACCTTAAAAACCTTAACCGTAAACCCCTAAACCCTAAAGCCTAAACACAATATGAGGGGAACCTGTTACGGGGGAAGCTTGGGTCTTTATTGGGGCTCGTTATCTGGATCCTAATTTCTTGGCGGTTATTGAACCACGGCTTCTTAATCAGGCTCCTGCATTAAACTGCTCTTAAAGTCCCTATCGCTGATGTAGGGGCCTTAATCATTAAAACGGGGTTTTGGGGTCTATTCTGCTATACTAAGGAACTCCTAAAGCAGTATAGGTCATTATCTAGGCCCCTATCCCTAAAACCTAAACCCTAAACGCCTAAAGCAAGATAGGTCATGATTTAGGCCCCTATGTTACGCAAACCCTAAACCCTAAACCCTAAACCCTAAACCCTAAAGCATGGGCAACATCGGTGCAATCGTCCATGCTGTTGCAGGCCCGACGTCCCCTAAGTTCTCAACCTTAAACAGCCCAGAGCCCAGGATCTTTAAGGGGTTTTGAGGTTTTAGGGCGTAGGGTTTTAAGGTTTAGGGTGTAGGTGACAGCTTCAAGGGGATCAGCTGT